TTTTTTTGGCCCATATGCGACCTGGATCTGATGTTTTCATTGCTGTCTGAACAACACAGATCCGATTTTTTTCCGATGCGATCCAGGCCACTTGGCTAGGTGGTCCTGAATCAGATAAGAATCCGATCTTTGCTAATGTGACCTGTGTCTGAGCGGCAAGGTCGCATTCATCCGACCTGAACGTCATTAATACCCGACAAAGGTCACTATTCTGGGTTTTGCTGCGAAGAAGCGGCAAGAAAAACAACAACCATGGCGGACCATGATTCGTAGAGCAGTATTTATGTTTAACCATCTTGAAAAGATTGTGTTTTTGTGGTTGGGAAAGATCGCTAGATGCGCTGCGGCACTACCATTCATGTTAACTTCTGTAAACACAGAGCACGCTGGCCTGTGATGTCATTGCGTCCTCTACTGCAACATGCGGGACACTTGCGTTGTATGGCTGCAGTTCACACAGGAGATCGCATACAAGTCGCATATATTTTGAAAGGTGAACGACAACTCAAAAAAAAAAAAAAAAAATCGGATTTCGCAAAAAAATCGGAATTGAGCATCAAGGCCTGCAGTGTGAACGTAGCCAATGGTTTCCTCCCATTCGTCACCCTGCGGGTTTCTGTTGACATGAATCTGTCTTCTTTCAGGACAGAGTTGGTGTTTTCAGTGACGAGGGAGCTGCTCGGCGTCCCGTCTTCGTCCCTCTCCCCTCCCCTCTTCACTCCTCCCAACCTGCTCTCTCTGTTCTCACGCTACGTGGATCGGCAGCGGCTGGAGCTGTTACAAGACAAGCTACAGTGAGTAGAATCAGACCACGCGCTCACAGTGGAGTGAACATGTTGCTAAAAAATCTGTTTGCTTTCCAGGATCTCAGCTTCATCCAGGTAGAAGTTACATCATCATTGACGACGTTGACCCCACCCCCCCCACCCCCCGGCCCAGTACATGCAGAATTTCAGTGTGTGTCAGAGTGTGTGTGGTGTGTATGAGTGTTTGGTCTGGATGATTTTAACGCAGAAGAATCTCTAGTCACATTTGTTTCTGTGTTTAGTCCGATGTTCTGCTTGTGTGCGTCTGTGTGGATGATTGTAAAATTATGTGAAACAATCTGAATCATAACAAAAATCAGTTCTGCATTTTTAAATATCTTGTTTACAATTATGCCTGTGATAAAAATTAAAAAGTATTTCTATTATATAACAAGCCTGTGTTCACTGCTCTGTTCAGAAATGATCTCTCTTTAGTTTGACTTAAAGAGTCCAGACACTCCTGAACCGTCCCTCAGCCTTTCAAAGTCTCATTTTTTTATTTTGGAAACCAAGGTCCCAGAGTGTGGAGGATGAAAGATTTATAATCCAAGGTGCAAAAGATCTGGTGACGGTCTAATTAAATCACTAGTTTTATCAAACCATGGCTCATAAATATACCCTTATATTAATTTTTTGCTGTCTAAATTAATTAACGGTTCATCATAATATACTCATTAAAAGGGTTGAGCTTTGCTTTAACTACATAAACTCTTCTAGATGACCTGCAGAGAGACAACTTTCCGTCATCTTCATAAAACGCAGACTGCTATAAAGGGTAAAAAAATATTTGATGTGAATAAGTGATTACTGTACTAACAATTAGAAAGTTAACTAACACTGCTGCCACCTGCTGGTGTAGAAGGGAACTGCTTATTGCAGAGTTGGTCAACTTGGGGAGGAATAAATCGCCTGATGGGGCGCGTGGCTCCATCCCTGATGGCATCTGCTGTTGATGGTCCAGTGTGTCCAAAGTCCACAATCAGAAACCACCTACTAGAACACTTAGAACACCTCTGCTGATGAGCTTCATGTAGCCATGGGTTTCATTTTCCTACTGGACTTGATTCCGGTCCATGCTGCCAAAGGGACTAGACACTGGTTTAAAGGGCCCTTATCTGTTATTTTAATCCCTCTAAAGTCAACTAAATGCAGATGTAAAATAACTTTAGCAGTTTAGCCTTCATTCTGCTTTCATGTTTGATCAGCAGATCTAGATTTCGAGTGAAGCATTGCTCACCTTTCCTGTGTGTTTTCAGTATACCGTGGTACTTGTACTAATTTTTTTTTTTGAGTCGGATGCTGAAGCTGCCAATCATCACTGCTATATCTCTGGTTTAGGGAGGGAATTGGTTTTCCACCAAATGTTAAAGAACCCTTTCTAAAAAAAAAAACTGCTGTGTCCGGATTATGATGTGGATCAC